TGCCCCCACTAAGAAGGCTCTCCCCCTGTGGGCTGCCAGTCAACATTGTTTGACTGACGGCACCTTGAGAAGACCCTCTCTATGGGAGTGTACTCGTCGGTGAGAGGCTATTGGTGGCAGAAGGCAGTCTCGTAGGTACCCCAGTCCTAAGCCATGGAACACTCTAAAGGTGGTAACCAGAACCTTGAAGCGCACCCAGAGGACCACCGGGAGCCAGTGCAGCTCGCGCAGGAGGGCAGTCACATAGGAGCGCCACGTCGCTCCCGTAACCACCCACGCGGCCGCATTCTGGACCAGTTGGAGCCTCCGGATGCTACTAAAGGGGAGCCCCATGTAGAGACCATTACAGTAGTCCAGGCGGGAAGTGACAAGAGCATGAGTGACCGTGCGTAATGAGTCCCGATCCAGAAAGGGACGCAACTGGCAGATCAGGCGAACCTGATAAAAAGTCCTCCCGGCCACAGCCGTCAAATGCTCTTCTAAAGCCATCCGTGAGTCCAGGAGGACACCCAAGTTGCGAGCCCTCTCTGTGGGGGCCAACGATTCACTCCCAATAGTCAGTGAGGCACCAACTGACTATATCAGGATGTCGGAAACCGCAGCCACTCGGTCTTGGATGGGTTGAGCCTGAGTCTGTTTCTCCCCATCCAGATCCGTACAGCCTCCAGGCACTGGGACATCAAAGGCATCATTGGGGTGATGCGGGGTGGAGATGTACATCTGAGTGTCATCAGCGTACTGATGGTACTTCACCCCGAAACCACGGATGATCTCACCCAGCGGCTTCACATAAATGTTGAACAGAAGGGGTGAGAGGACCGACCCATGTGGCAACCCACATACAAGGGGCCTTGGGGTCGACCTCTGCCCCCCTGTCAACAGAGACTGCGACCAGTCGGAGAGAAAGGAGGAGAACCACCGCAACACGGTGCCCCCCACCCCTAACTCTTCCAACCGGTGCAGCATGATACCATGATTGATGGTATCAAAAGCCGCTGAGAGGTCTAATAGTTACCACCTTTAAAGCGCTCCATGGCATAGGACCTGGGTACTTGCGGGACCGCCTTCTGCCGCCGATAGCCTCCCACCGTCCAGTACGCTCCCACAGAGAGGGACTCCTCAGGGTGCCGTCGGCCAGGCAATGTCGGCTGGAGACCCCCAGGGGGAGGGCCTTCTCTGTGGCAGCCCCCGCCCTCTGGAACGATTTGCCCCCGGAGATAAGGATATCGGATCTTCGGGTCTTTCGCCGAGCCCTGAAAACTCTTCTTTTCCAGCAAGCAGGGCTGGCGTGAACCCCGCCCCCCTTTTTTAGTTTTTAATGGTTATTAATTGTTTAGTTTTAATTTGTTAATGGGTTTTAATTCGCACTGTTTTAATTCGGGCCAAAGTATATAATTCTTTTAATTAATTTTAAATTTTGTATTGTTATGTATTTTAGTTTTGGCTGTGCACCGCCCTGAGTCCACTAGGAAAAGGGCGGTATATAAATTGAATAAATAAATAAATAAATAAATAAATAAATAATAGGACCAGGACAGAGGAGCAACCCCTGTCCCGAGCCCTCCAGAGATCATCGACCAATGCCGTCTCCGTGCTGTACCCAGGCCTGAAGCCCAACTGGAACGGATCTAGATAAGCCGATTCATCCAGGTACTGAGGAAGCTGTCGCGCTACCACACTCTCAACAACCTTTGCAACAAAGCAAAGGTTGGAGACTGGACGATAATTAGCCAACACTGCCGGGTCCAGGGAAGGCTTCTTGACGAGGCTTCATCACTGCCTCCTTCAAGGCGGCAGGGAAGACACCCTCATTCAAAGAAGCATTAATAATTCCCTGGAGCCAGCCTCACGTAACCTCCCAGGAGGCCAGCACCAACCAGGAGGGACACGGGTCCAATAAACATGTGGCCGCGCTCAGTCTACACAGTATCCTGTCCACGTCTTCGGATGTCACAGAATCAAACTCTTCCCAGGTAATATTCTCAAGACCTGCCTCCATCATCCCCCCTGAATCTACCCAGTCAGAGTCCAGGTGTTCCCGAATCTGAGCGATTTTGTCATACAGATACTGTACAAAGTCCTTGGCTCTACCCTCCAAGGGGTCCTCCCATGCTTCCTGGTGGAGCAGGGAGCGGGTCACCCTAAACAGGGCGGCCAGGCAATTATCTGATGACGCAATAAGAGCGGAAAAATAATTAAATTTTGCCTCTTTTATCGCCACCAGATAGGTCTTAATATAAGACCTTACCAGTGTTCGGTCAGATTCAGAACGGCTGGCCCTCCAACTGCTCTCCAGGAGTCTTTTCTGGCACTTCATCTCCCTCAGCTCCTCGGTGAACCAAGGAACCAGGCAAGACTGGCGCCGGGTCAGAGGCCGCAAAGGCACGACCCGGTCCAAAGCTCCAGCGGCCGCCCTATCCCAGGCGGCCACTAGGTCTTCAGTTGAGCTGTGAGCCAGAGCCTCAGGAAATGGCCCAAGCTCCGTCTGGAACCTATCCGGACCCATCAGGCACCTGGGGCGGAACCACCTCGTTGATTCCTCCTCCCTGCGGTGGGGTGTGACGGTTCGAAGGTCAAAGCGAAGGAGGGAGTGATCTGACCATGACAAGGGCTCGATCACTATATCCCCTATCTCAAGATCACTCAACCACTGACCAGAGACAAAAACCAGGTCCAGCGTGTTTCCCCCGGTGAGTAGGGCCATAAACTAACTGGGTCATGTCCATGGCTGTCATGGAAGCCATGAACTCCCGAGCCATCTCAGACACCTCACCGACAGATGGCAGGTTAAAATCCCCCATGACCATAAGCCTGGGGATATCAACCGCCATCGCGGCTATAACGTTGAGCAGCTCGGGCAGGGCTGCCACCATGTGGCAGGGAGCCAGGTACGTAACCAGCAAGCCCATCTGTACCCCATGACCCCACTTCACAAGGAGGGACTCGCATCCAGCCGTCTGAGGAACAGTGGCCTCCCTCAGACAAAGACCCTCTTTAATAACAACTGCCACCCCCCTGCCACTCCCCTGTGACCTCAGCTGATAAAATGCGCGAAAATTGGGTGGGCATATTTCAACGAGGGGGACCCCCCCCTCCTGGCCCAACCAGGTCTCCGTAATACCCGCCAGGTCGCTCCCCCCCTCCTGAACTAGATCACAAATGAGGGGGGGGCTTTATTTACCACGGATCTGGCGTTGCATAGCATCAGCCGAAGGCCCAGGGCCTGAGGGTCTGTGCAACCTGGGGAACGAGAGGAGCATTGGAGGCCGGAGCGCGACACCGCTCGAAGACAGCGAGCGTGCACTCCCATAACATATGGCCCCTTGCTCCCGCCATATCTGCCCCTCCCACCCACAGTACTGATATAATGTCCATCAACAACAAAATTTGTTGTTTTGGGTCGGTGCGTTTTATTTGAAGCCAGAATGTTTGACTCCTCTTATAAGTCGCTTCAAACGTTCACGGGTTAAGTTCATTGGAGCCCACTTCACAGAATGAGGTTTGAAGCGGGTGAGTTGCAATGACGCTACCCGTCATTAAGGTGTTCAGTAAAATAACTGTAAAACAGCTACAGGACCATCCAATTTCTACTTCTAGCAACCTAGAACTAAGGAGGAATTCTGGATTGTCATCTCGTTTATTGGTTCTGTGTAGCCTCTGGCACCACCGATTGGTTCAAAATTGGGAAAGGAGTCCGCTAAGGCTGTATACTGTCACCCTGCCTATTTAACTTATATGATACGTCATATAAGTTTCTCACATCATGAGAAAGGCAGGGCTAGATGAATCAGAAGTTGCTGGGAGAAATATCAGCAACCTCAGATATGCAGATGTTACCACTCTAATGGCAGAAAGCGAAGAGGAACTAAAGAGCCTCTTGATGCGGGTGAAGAAGGAAAGTGCAAAAATTGGCTTGAAGCTCAACATTAAGAAAACTAAGATAATGGCATCCGGCCCTTTCAATTCCTGGCAAATAGATGGGGAAGAAATGGAGGTAGTGACAGATTTTATCTTCTTGGGCTCCAAGATCACCGCAGATGGGGACTGCAGCCAAGAAATTAATAGACGCTTGCTCCTGGGAAGGAAAGCTACGGCAAATCTAGACAGCGTACTGAAAAGCAGAGACATCACCCTGCCAACAAAAGAGCGTATAGTCAAGGCTATGGTTTTCCTAGTTGCAATGTGTGGCTGTGAAAGTTGGACCATAAGGAAGGCTGAGCGTCAAAGAATGGGGGCCTTTGAACTCTGGTGCTGGAGAAGACTCCTGTGAGTCCCTTGGACTGCAAGGTGACCCAACCGGTCAGTCCTAGTGGAGATCAACCCTGACTGCTCTTTAGAAGGCCAGATCCTGAAGAGGGAACTCAAATACTTTGGCCACCTAATGAGAAGGAAGGACTCACTGGAGAAGAGCCTAATGCTGGGAACGATGGAGGGCAAAAGAAGAAGAGGACGACAGAGAATGAGGTGGCTGGATGGAGTCACTGAAGCAGTCGGCGTGAGCTTAAATGGACTCCAGAGGATGGTAGAGGACAGGAAGGCCTGGAGGAACGTTGTCCATGGGGTCGCGATGGGTCGGACATGACTTCACAACTAACAATGACTGCTTTTAAAATTCCTCAGTGGCGTTCCTTTCCAAAGTACAGGTAGTCCTCGTCTTGCGACCACAATTGAGCCCAAAATTTCTCTTGTTAATAAGCGAGACATTTGTCAAGTGAACGTTGTCCCATTTTATGAGCTTTCTTGCCAAGGTTGTTAAAGTGAATCACTGCAGCTGTTAAGTTAGTAACACTGACTGTAAGCAAATCTGATTTTCCCATGGACTCTGCTGGTCAGAAGGATGCAAAAGGGGACACACCCCCGGTGACCCCCCCCCGGGGACGCTGCAACCGTCGTAAACATGAACCAGTTGCCACGCATCCAAAGTTGCGATGTGTCGGACACGACTTTGCAACTAACAACAACAAAATAGCCTCTGGCTAAACAAAATAAAATCACACACCTTATTTTATTTTATTTTATTTTATTTTTCCGGAATGTTCAGCTAGGTCAGAAATTAATCATAATTATTGAAAGTTACCCTGAGTCACGTGTAAATACTAGAAGGGCAAGGCTTGCTTACACCAATAATACAAGCAAAAAAAAACAAAAACACAAAACCTGCCCTTTGGGCAGAGCATTCAGATCATGTAAACCGGCTGATCGTTTTGTAAACTTTTTCCCCTTTGACTAAAGATACAATATCGAAACAGCACATAATTCAAAACCTTTTTACACCCTTGTTCATCTAATGGTGTCTGGGGAACCTGGGTACCAAACATAGGAACAATTTCCCAACCGGTAAAAAAATATATATATACACGAAAAGATACGTGGCCTCGTTCATCACCTCCCGCTGGGAAGTTTCTTTCTGAAATGTTCAGCGAAGTATCCGTGGATTTAATGTTCTTTTGGACAATTCTGTAGGAAAAGAACAGAGACCGTTTGAAGCATGAAAGAAAGCCCCCATTTTCTCGCAAAAAGAAAAGTACAGGCAGCCCGTTTTAGGAGCCTGAGTGGCGTAGGAGGCTAATGCCTCCTACTAAGGCAGCATTTAACATCCAGCTGCCTGCAATTACTGCGAGTTCAATTCTCACCAGACTCAAGGTCCACTCAGCCTTCCATCCTTTCTAAGGTGGGTAAATTGAGGACCCAGTTTGTGGGGGCAATAAGCTGACTTTGTATAAATATACAAAAGTATGAAGGCTATTGCTTAGCGCATTGTAAGCCGCCCTGAGTCTCCGGAGAAGGGCGGCATATAAAAATAAATAAAAAAAATAAAAATAAAAAAAATCATCAGCACTAGGGACAAGAAATACAGGTAGTCCTTGACTTACGACCACAATTTGAGCCCAATGTGACTTTTTGCCGGCTTGCCACCGTTGCTAAGGGAATCCCAGCAGCTGTTAAATCAGTAACCTGGTTGTTAAGTGAATCTGGCTTCCCCTATCGATTTTGCTTAGTCGGAGGGTCACAAAAGGGGGAATCACGTGACCCCAGGACGCTGCGACCGCCATAAACACGAGTCTGTTGCCAAGCATTTGAATTTTGATCATGTGATCATGGGGGATGCTGCAACGGACGTGTGAAAAACTGGTTGTAAGTAACTTTTTGCACTTCAGATGGTCACTAAATGAACTGTCATAAGTCGAGGACTACCTGTAATGTGTTTTATAGCAGAGGTCCCCAACCCCTAGTTCGTGGACCGGCATTGGCCCGTGGCATGCCAGCAAGTGGGCTGCGCAAACAAGCGAAGCTCCATCTGTGGGATGCAGGCAGCATGAAAAACTGTTCTCCATGGAACCGGTCCCTGGTGCCCAAAAGGCTGAGGGCCTCTCATCGGAGCCCTCCCCAGACTCCAGGACTGGCCCATGGTCCTCCCCAGCCTCCTCACTGTCTGAGTCTGCTGCCAGATCCGCTGGCGGGCCACAAGAAGGATTACCTGTTCTGTCAAACTTTCTATCACTTCAGGAGTCTGGTACAGTAAGTGCTGCATCGCAAGCTGCTGTTCTTCAGTCAGAGAAGAGATCTAGGGGGAAGAAAATGGAGTTGATTTCACTTATTTATTTGTATCCTGCCTTTTATTATTTTTATCAATAATGCAAGGCAGCAAACATACATAATGCCCCTCCTTCCTCCTATTTTCCCCACCACAAGAACCGCGTGAGATAGGTTGGGGTGAGAGAGAGGGACTGGCCCAAAGTCACCCAGCCGCCTTTTGTGCCTAAAGTGGAACTAGAACTCACCGTCTCCTGGTGATTGGCCCAAAGTCACCCAGCCGGCTTTCATGCCTAAGGCGGGACTAGAACTCTGTCTCCTGGTGATTGGAGCAGAGTCACCTAGCCAGCTTTCATGCTTAAGGCAGGACTAGAACTCACAGTCTCCTGGTGATTGACCAAAAGTCACCCAGATGGCTTTCATGCCTAAAGCGGGATTAGAACTCACCGTCTCCTGGTGATTGGCCCAAAGTCACCCAGCCAGCTTTCATGCCTAAGGCAGGACTAGAACTCACAGTCTCCTGGTGATTGACCAAAAGTCACCCAGATGGCTTTCATGCCTAAGGCAGGACTAGAACTCACTGTCTCCTGGTGATTGGTCCAAAGTCACCCAGCCAGCTTTCATGCCTAAAGCGGGATTAGAACTCACCGTCTCCTGGTGATTGGCCCAAAGTCACCCAGCTGGCTCTCATGCCTAAGGCAGGACTAGAACTCACAGTCTCCTGGTGATTGACCAAAAGTCACCCAGATGGCTTTCATGCCTAAGGCAGGACTAGAACTCAGTCTCCTGGTGATTGGCCCAAAATCATTCAGCTGGCTTTCTTGCCTAATCTATTGGTTCATCTCAATGAAACTTTGCAACAAACTGATAGAGGCTTTTAATTCCCAATGTGTGTTTGCTTTTTATTATTTTTATATTAATTTTTTTAGATGCTTTGATGGCCATTTGAGAGAAAAGCAAGACATGCATGTAAGTAAACGGGCAAAACTTTAAAGGAAATGATAATCTATCTGCCAAAGTTGGCCACGGATAATTTGCTTCTGACATTCCTTGCTTGATTTTAAACCATAAATTAGAGTTCATAAAGTACAATTACTGTGTCCACACAATAAGGCGATTAAAACATGACAAAGAAATCATAAATTGTTAATAAGCTGCAACCGCTAAGACGTAGCGGTTACCAGTTACGTCTTAAGAGTAACGTGTTTCCCTGTCAGATTTGATTTGACTGAGCTTGTTCTATTAACACAGCAGTTAATTATAATGTATGGTTTAGCATATTGCCTTTAGGTTAATTGGCTGAGCAGATTACTTAAAGACCTGCTCAAAGGCAGTTTTGGAGTTGGCAGAATCCCTTATAAGGTAAAGGTAAAGATTCCCCTCGCAGATATGTGCCAGTCGTTCCCGCCTCTAGGGGGCAGTGCTCGTCTCCGTTTCAAAGCCGAAGAGCCAGCGCTGTCCGAAGACGTCTCCATGGTCATGTGGCCGGCACGATTCAATGCCAAAGGCACACAGAACGCTGTTCCCTTCCCACCAAAGGTGGTCCCTATTTTTCTACTTGCATTTTTTACCTGCTTTCGAACTGCTAGGTTGGCAGAAGCTGGGACAAGTCACGGGAGCTCACCCCGTGATGCATTACTAGGGATTCGAACTGGCGACTTTTCGATTGAATCTCTTATAGAACGTAATAAAGAGTTGCCCTCTGCCGAGCTCTTATTTGAGATGTGGGGTCTTTGGTGCTCTCTGAGCTTGGTTGTGTTCTTGCAGACGTTTCATGACCCAACTAGGTAACATCATCAGAGCTAGCAAGGAGTGAGGTTTGCTCTCTCTTTGTATACAAGTGGCTTGCCCTGTCAGTGTTGATGGGAGTGCTCTTGGTGGTTCCTTGATTAGGCTTTTGTCTAGCTGGTAGTTCCTTGATCGGGGTATTGGGTTTTTTTTCTTGATTGTTGATCTAGTTCAGTGTTGGCAAACCTTTTCGGCACCAAGTGCCGAAACGGGTCGGGGAGCGCCAGAAAGCGGAAGAGCAGCTCCCCAGCGCGCACATGCGGGAGCGCCAGAAAGCTCAGCTTCTGGTTTCTGGTGTGCGCGTGCGCACTGGTCACCTGGTCTTCTGGTTTTTGGCACCCATGAAGAACAGCTGGCTGGCGTATATGCGCATGCCAGAAACAGGAAGCTCAGCTTCCCGGCGTGTGCATACATGCCAGGGACCTGCTCTTCCGGTTTCCAGCGCTCCCACGCTGACTGGTGCGCATGTGTGCGCCAGAACCCAAAAGAGTGACGGCTAGCATGCCCAGAGAGATGGCTGTGTGCCACTTCCGGCACATGTGCCTTAGGTTCTAGTTGGTGTTGGGGTTAATCTCTGCTTTCTGAGTGTTGATGGCTGGCAAGGAAGTGTTTTGCTCTTTTTCTTTCTTTCTTTCTTTTTTTTATTTTGATTTATATGCCGCCCTTCTCCGGAGACTCAGGGAGGCTTACAATGCGTTAAGCAATAGCCTTCATACTTTTCTATATTTATACAAAGTCAGCTTATTGCCCCCACAAACTGGGTCCTCAATTTACCTACCTTAGAAAGGATGGAAGGCTGAGTCAACCTTGAGCCTGGCGGGATTCGATCTTACTTTAATTGCAGACAGCTGGTGTTAAATTACAGTGCCTTTGTCTGTTGAGCTATTCAGGCTTTTTGGTTTTTTTTTCTTTTTTGCTCGTCTATTTTGAGCACTAAATAGATTTGGTTTATCTCTTTGCGTCTGTCGAGGTTTGATTTGCCTAAGTGCCAGGTTTCCAGGAATCTTCTAGCAGTTTTGGATTTGGCTTGGTCGAAGATCTCCGTTTCCCAGTTGAAACTATGGTGAAGTCTGATCACATCAGTGGCAGGTTGCTCAAGGTTTGGTCCGGTTCTCTAGAACCGGTAGTAAAACCGGCGGGAAGCTCCGCCCACCCACAAAGATGACGTCATCATGGGTGATCTGCGCATGCGAACCGGTAGTCAAGGTAAGTGGAGCCCACCCCTGGATTGCATATTGTGAAATTAAGGAGTTTTCATCAAATCTTCCTGCTAGTTGGTGTTCATGGGTGAACCCCCAATCAAATCGTAAACAACAGCCTAATCTAAGAATCACCGAAAACACCCCCACCAACACTGACAGGGCAGGCCACGTATAAAAAGAGGGAGCAAACATCACATTCCCTTCTAGCACTGATAATGTTACCTAGTTGGGTAATCAAACGTCTGCAAGAAAACCACCAAGCTCAGAGAGCACCAACGCCCCCCCCCCCCAGTTGTCGTCTTCTTCTTCCTTTTTCCTCCTTCTCCTCTTCTCTGCAAACCCCACCTCCTTCAAGCACTGACAATGATGTTACCTAGATGGGTAACCAAACGTCTGCAAGAATATTTTCTTTACTATTTTTTTTTCTGGGAGGATACCCAGTAGGATCAGCTCTGGTTTTAAATCAATACGTTATAATAATGATTTTAATTAGCAATTTTATGATGTTTGTGTATCTATATTTTTCTTGACTGTACACCGCCTTGAGTCCTACAGGAGAAAGGCGGTATAGAAATAAAATTAATAATAATAATAATAATAATAATAATAATAATAATAATAATAATAATAATAATGTTGTTGTTGTTGTTGTTGTATCATTTCTTCCAGCCATATCTTAATTTTATTCCAATAGTTTTTAGCTTCTGAGCATGATTATACATGTAATAACAGCTGCAAGGATTGTTTGTGCACAAAATTGGAAAGCAGAGAAAATACCTTTGGAAGGAGAATTAAAAAAAAAAACTTAGTTCTTAATTCAAATAATGTCAAATGTTAAATTGCTATATTTTTAAGATTAGAGATAAGATTTAAATTTGATAAATGTACTATGAGTTATTAACTGATTTAAGATTTTAGGTGGGTTAATAGAAGGGTAATTGTTTTGATTAAGTAAATAAGAGTAAACTCTTTTTAAGATGGTATTAGTTGAATAAGTGATTTAAGATTGAGAAATAAGTGTTATGGCAAAATAGAATATATAAAATTTTGTTAAAGATGACAAAAATTGTATAAATTGATGACCGGATCAAAGCTCTGTTCCGAAAAGATGTAATTGGTATGTTTGGTTAAAAAATAAAAAAACTTTTTGCAAAAATAATTTTTTTTAAATTTAGATTGTGCAGAAATGAATGGATTGACTTTGATGATTAAAGAAAGAGAAGATTCAGAATACTTTAAGATATGGAATCAATTTTACCATTGGTTAGAAAAGAGATACAAATAAGTAAATTAATAGTTATGTATAAAAATGCTACAATTAGAACAGTGTGTTAGTGACGGATTGTTGTAATGGAGAGAAGGAAGATAGAAGAAACAACAAAAAGAACTTTTGGAGACAACACCGAGATGTCACATGGAAGGAATGACTTATCTATTAAATGTTTGTTTGTCTAAAAAAATAAACTTAAAAAAAAAAACATCTGTAAGAAAAACCACCAAGCTCAGAGAGCACCAAGGACTCCATAGTTCAACTCCGAGCTACAAATATTCTCTTCTACTAGCATTATTTGAGATGTGGTGCTATCTCACCAAACCTCTGATTGATGATGAGCACGGCTGTGGCCAGGGGGACTTTTTGTCAGGTCCGCCTGATACGACAGTTGCGGCCCTTTCTTGATCGGGATGCCCTGCGCACAGTCACTCATGCCCTTGTCACCTCTCGCCTGGACTACTGCAACGCTCTCTACATGGGGCTCCCCTTGAGGGGCACCCAGAGGCTCCAACTGGTCCAGAATGCAGCCACGCAGGTAGTTACGGGAGCTGCATGGCGCTCCCATACAACACCTCTCCTGCGTGAGTTGCACTGGCTCCCAGTGGTCTTCCAGGTGCGTTTCAAGATGTTGGTTACCACCTTTAAAGCGCTCCATGGCATAGGACCTAGATATCTTCGAGACCGCCTGCTGCTACCGACGGCCTCCCATCGACCTGTGCGCTTCCACAGAGAGGGCCTCCTTGGGGTGCCATCAGCCAAACAATGTAGGCTGGTGACCCCCAGGGGAAGGGCCTTCTCTGTGGGGGCACCCACCCTCTGGAACCAGCTGCCCCCAGAGATAAGGAGAATCCAAGACCTCGGTGCCTTCCGCCGTGCCCTTAAAACCTTCTTTTTTCAGCAAGCCGGGCTGGCTTAACTTTTTTTCTTAATTTTTTAAATGTTCTAAATGGGTTTGTTATTGTTCTTAAATTACGGGGCCAAATTTATATATATTCTTTTAATACTATTTTAATGTTTGTAATTTATGTTTTTATTCGGCTGTACACCGCCCTGAGTCCTCAGGGAGAAGGGCGGTATATAAATTGGATATAAAATAAAAAATAAAAAATAAAATAAATGCTGGCCTGAGGCACGCTAATCCCTAGGAAGTTTTTCTGTTGCTCACCCAATACATTCAAATGGAACCTGGAACAGAGTCACAACTATTCTAAAGAAAGAAAGAGAAGGCAAAATCTTGACCAGAGCATTACCTCTGTACCGGCGTGTTGCTGAATTTCCTGGACCAACTTCACTGTTTTCGCCAAAGTGGCCCGGATAGAACGTATGGACTCTCGCCGCTCCGCGGAAATCTTCTGCAGCTGTTCGCACAAGGTTTTGAAACGCAACTTCACTACCGACAGCTGCTGTATCATGACCAGATGATTTTCCTGTTTCCAAAGCAAGAAGTCCGGAGCAGAATAAGAAAGGAAAGAACAAAAGCATCAAGCACATCATTAACAAACCTGTATATTGATCCAAGACGGAGTGGTGAAATCTGAACCGGTTTACTACCGGTTCGCTGGTTGCGCAGACGCAGTGCGCACTACACACCAAATGTGAGGTGTGCGCACGCAGTGCACGCCAAAAGGAGGCATGACGGCGCGTGGGGGGGAGGGGTAATCAGCTGTGGCACGCAATCTTTTTTTCTTTTATAAGCATTGCTTGTCTTTTTAAAATTTATAAACTTTATTCACATATAAAACACATATAAAAACATTTACAAAACATACAACATATAAGTAAATTTTCCTTTTAAAGCAATATTTCATAGTGATTCTTCAACTAATACAGTTGTGATTATTCCCCTTATTCTTAACCGAATAGGTTTTTCTTTTCCCTTTTCATCCCCCTCCTTCTTTTTCCCCTCCTTAGGATTCCCCCTTTAGCAATCTTTATATTTGGATTACACCATTGTTTTTGGATTTCCCTATTCCTGTTTATTTGCCCATAGAAAATTATTTATATACATATTTACATCTTTATTCTACTCTTTTTATATTTATGTATCTTTAGTAGAGGAGTTGTACCATTGGTACCATTTGTCCCATATTCTGTAATACTCTGTCTCTTTTAAAAGAGCATTGCTTTTAAAAGTAAAAAAAAAAAAAGCCTCTGACAATCCCAGCTGACCACGCGATCATCAGAGGCTTTTTTTTTTTTTTTACTTTTAAAAGCATTTTTTCGGCTGAAGAAAAAAATGCTTTTAAAAGTTAAAAAAAAAAAAAGCCTCTGATGATCGCACGGCTCAGCAGGGCATAGACCCGTGATGACGAACCTATGGCACACGTGCCACAGGTGGCACGCGGAGCCATATTAGTGGGCACGCCAGCTCAGCTCTGGGGTGCATGCGTGCCCCGGCCAGCTGATTTTCGGGCCTTCTGGGCCCACCAGAAGTAGGGAAACAGGCTGTTTCCTGCCTCTGGAGGGCCTGGGGGCGGGGTGGGGAAGGCCCGTTTTTCTTTCTTACCTGGCTCCAGATCCTCTCTGTGTATCTGGGAAGGGCGAAAACAGCCTTTCCCACTCCCTTGGAGGCCCTACGGAAGCTGAAAGGGCCCATTTCCCAACTCTCGGTGGGACAGGAAGTGATGTTTTTTCCTGTCCCCAGCCTCCAGAGACTCCTAGAGAGGCTCCTAGAGACTCCTAGAGAGGTTCTGGAGGCTGGGGACAGCAAAAAATGTCACTTCCTGTCCCACCGAGTTGGGAAATGGGCCCTTTCAGCCTCCGTAGGGCCTCCAAGGGAGTGGGAAAGACTGTTTTCGCCCTTCCCAGATACACAGAGATGATCTGGAACCAGGTAAGAAAGAAAAACGGGCCTACCAGGCCATCATGTGCCAGGAGCGGGGGGGAGGGGGTTGCACATGCATGCGCGTGGGCACATGCGTGCGTGACCCTCCCCTGCCCCCCCTCTCCTGGCACACGATGGCAAAAAGGTTAGCCATCACTGGCATAGACGGACGGGGCGAGGGCAGGGATTTTTGCTACCGGTTCTCTGAACCACCCGCCGCCATCGCTACCAGATCGGGCGATCCGGTCCGAACCGAGAGCATTTCACCCCTGATCCAAGGTACAGTGAAGTACCTATTACATCAGTGATGGCGAACCTTTCTGGCACTGAGTGCCCAAACCGGAATGTGCGTGCATGTGTGCGCCCTGGAAACCCGAAGACCAGCTGGCCTTCGGGTTTCCAGCTCACGCATTCACGCCGGCCAGCTGGTCTTTGTGCGCGGCGGAGCACCGTAAACCCAAAGAACAGCTGGCTGGTGCACGCATGCCTGGTTTTTAGACATTTTCCAGCTACTTTTTGGGCTGTTTTCAAGCCGTTTTTTGGGCCGTTTTCCAGGTTTTTGGCATGAAAAATGGCCTGAAAGCGGCCCGAAAAACAGCCGGTTTTTTGGCCATTTTTGGGACCGTTTTCAGGTGCTCCGTCGCTCGCCATGACCACCTGGCCAGGATGCATATGCGTGCCAGAAACCAGAAGAGCAGCTGGCGATGGTGTGCGTGCCCACAGAGAGGGCTCTGCGTGCCACCTTTGGCATGCATTCCATAGGTTCGCCATCACGGCCTTATGTCTATGGCAACCTTAAACACTCAAAGAGCCATTTGGACCCGTTTCCCACAGAAAAGAAAACACCGGGAGCCACAAAACCCTTCCCGTGCCTGACTATTTCCTGAGAGGCCACAAAACTAGCATATGTAGTTGAGTTAAACATTCTGTTTTCTTCTGAAAGTTTTCTTTTCTTGGATTTATCCATGGCTGACCTACTGGGGGTTGAAAAGCTCAATAAATCGCGTGCCGGCGGATGTCGCACATTGGCGGTTGCGACGCATATTTTGAGTGACAGGGAGCCGCAGCAGAGGGGTGAAAGAGCCACATGCGGCTCCAGAGGCACAGGTTGCTGACCCCTGGTCTATGGAGATTCTCAGTCATCCAGGTCATAAGAGCCTTGGTGGCGCAGCAAACTAAAGTGCTGTTAATAGCACCAGCTGCCTGCAATTACTGCAAGTTCGAATCTCACCAGGCTCAAGGTTGACTCAGCCTTCCATCCTTCCAAGGTAGGTAAAATGAGGACCCAGTTTGTGGGGGCAATAAGCTGACTTTGTATAAAAAAGAACACCGCTTGGGGGGGGGAGCAAAAGCCCTACTAAGCAGGTATATACAAAAGTATGAAGGCTATTGCTTAACGCATTGTAAGCCGCCCTGAGTCTCCGGAGAAGGGCGGCATATAAATTGAACTAATAAATAAATAAATAAATGGTTGCCCCCCCCTCCCCCCCGGTTGCAACTGGACTTTCTGATTTTTCTCTGAAAGACGTTTCGCTTCTCATCCAAGAAGCTTCTTCGTGCAAAACATCTTCAAAGAAAAATAAAAAAAAACCCAGTTGCTGAGAAAAGAAAGCACCTTTGGGACACGAAGAATCATCAAGAATGTGAAGGAACTGATGGAAAACAAAGTAAGTAGCTTCTTCACAACCATTTAAGCCAATTCCCCAAACTGACACCAAACAATATACAAGGAGGAATTTGTTTTTCGGCTCATTCTATGCTGTTGGTCAATCAATTTGACTGGACGATGTTAAGATCGAATATTAGAATTTGGGATGCAGACTCTCGAATCTATTCTGACTGTAACTAAAGAGTGCAGGAAGCTTGTTTGAATCCAAGTATTTTTGCAAACCTGAGTTGTGTTGGTTGGATCAAGAAAAAAAAAGTTACTTGCTTCCATCTCCAAAATGTTAATCAGTAGCCACTACGTTAGTAAGTACTTTTATGAAATTTAAGTTAGCCTCTGGAAAATTATTAGGTCTTCGGGTTATAGCAGAGGTCAGCAACCTGCGGCTCTGGAGCCGCATGTGGCTCTTTCACCCCTCTGCTGCGGCTCCGTCACTCAAAATATGCGTCACAACCACCAATGTGTGACACCCGCCGGCACGCAATTTATGGAGCTTTCCAACACCCGGTAGGCCAACCCAGGGGTGGGTTCTAAATTATTTTACTACCGGTTCTGTGGGCGTGGCTTATAGGTCATGTGACTAGGTGGGCGTGGCTAGCTGGTCAGTCATTTCTGGAAGGTCCTCGCACTTACGACCAGTCCTCGCACTTACGACCCGACTCATTTGTTTGCTTTTAACACTGATCAGCTGTAGGGCGGCCCTTTGAAGCCCCGCAGCAAGAGTTTAAACAGTTTTTTTCCCTCTAGTCATCAGCTGGGACTCAGGAGGCAGCAATAGATTGGGGGTGGGACCAAATAAAAGGTAAGAATAACATGGGGGAGGTGGGGGGGGTGGGAGAACCAGTTCGGTGACGTCATATCATCAGCGCTACCGGCTCGGCCGAACCGGACCAAACCGGGAGGAACCCACCACTGGGCCAACCATGGATAAATCCAAGAAAAGAAAAGTTTCAGAAGAAAGCAGAACCTTTAATTCAACTACATAGGCTACTTTTGTGGCCGCTCAAGAAATAGTCAGGCACGGAAAGGGTTTTTGTGGCTCCCGGTGTTTTCTTTTCTGTGGGAAATGGGTCCAAATGGCTCTTTTGAGTGTTTAAGGTTGCAGACTCCTGGATTATAGTCTTTAAAGAACTGACTGAACAATTTTCTGAGAGTAAAGCTAGGCAAATAAAACAAATTTTAAATTTGTATGCATATATAGCCGTGATGGTGAACCTATGGCACGGGTGCCAGAGGTGGCACACAGAGCTCTCTCTGTGGGCACATGCGCCGTTGCCAGCTGCTCTTCTGGTTTACGGCATGCACATGTGCGCTGGCCAGCTAGTCTTTGTGGGCACTGAAGCGCTGGAAAACGGCCTGAAAACCACCCAGAAAACAGCCTATTTTTTGGGCCATTTACAAGCCGTTTTTTAGGCTCTTTTCAGGCCATTTTTGGCCTGAAAAATGGCCAAAAAACAGGCATGCGTGCGCCTGCCAGCTGATCTTTGGGTTTCACACGCATTCTGGTTTGGGCACTCTGTGCCAAAAAAGTTTGCCATCACTGATATATAGGATATAATCATGAGCTCCAAAATTGTCTGTTTTAAGATACAAGCAAAATTATAATGGCTCTGCGGTACTCTGTGGGCTTGGTTGTTTCCCTATAGACGTTTCATTGCCAAACTAGGTAACATCATCAACGCTACAGGGGAGTGGGGTTTACTCTCTGTTTAACTGCCAAAAAGAAAACAACACTCCCACTAACACTGATGATGCTACCTAGTTTGGTAATGAAATGTCTGCAAGAAAGCAGATAATAGCATCATTCAAGTCATAGGTTTCTTCTGGCTTGATAGGGGCAATCTGACAACTGGAGTTTGTAAAACATGGTTAATGGGCCCTGCAACCCCAAAAAACTGTGCTTATTCAATAAAATATGATCTGTTCTGACCTAGGATTCCTTAGACAGCAAACAGCACAAATTTAGCCCTGCAAATAATTCAAATGGCTGCGAATTATTGTCTTTCCCAGTCTAAAAGGCTTCTCAAACAGTCTTATCAGGGGAGTGTTTACAAACACCCACCTTATCTCCCTTGGAATGCTGCCAGAGAACTAATTGCCAAATGCAGGGCAAGGCCAAACTTAGCAGAGGCAAACAGAGCTTTTCCAGAGCTTTTACTGACCAGATGAACAAATTCCTTCCTGCAAAAGCTCACGATCCGTTTGCTCTTTTATGTCTTATGGGAGGGGCCAATCATTTCCAAGCATTACTCCCAAGTTGACCCTGTTTCCTTAATTGTTCTCGTCTCCTGGCAGCTCTGCCCATGCGCACACTGGGAACAGGCTCATGCTGTTCTTCTGCCTTGCTGATGTCAGACTCCAGAGACTCCAGAGGCAGCAAAGAACTCCCAGATGGCCTTGGCCCCCTCTCTGCCTCCGACCCAGAGCCATCGTCCGAGCCTTCCCCAGACTCCAGGACTGGCCCACGTTCCTCCCCAACCTCCTCACTGTCCAACACTGTTGGCCGCTGGAAGGCCACAACATGATCACACTTAAGAACCTTAACGATGAGGCTTTAAAATATTTCTCAGAGGATGTCAGCAATGCTTTCAGGCATAAGCCTAAGGACGATACCTCTTGGGCGAGTCCGTTAGGGAGCCGTTTCATCATTTCAAACTCCAACGTTGTCTGGATGTAATCCAGATCAGATTCGGCCTTCTGGAACTAAAACATGAAAAAATGATCACACCCCGTTGATACGATGTACAGAGCGAGAAGGCTTCCACCAAATGCCTTCGGTTATGAATTTGGGGAGGGAAGATGGCGTAAGATCACCTTGTAAAAGAGATAGGCCGCATAATAAATAAATTAAATAAATAAATACATATATAAATACAGAAACAGGGAGGGAAAGAGAGAGAGAGAGAGAAATAAAGAGGGAGGGAAGAAAAGAAAGAAAGGAAGGAAGGAAGGAAGGAAGGAAGGAAGGAGAGAGATAGATAGAAAGAAAGAAAGGGAGGGAAGAAAGAGAGAGAGAGAGAAAGAGGGATGGAGGGAGGTAGAGAGAAAGAAAGAACGAACGAAAGAAAGAATACACTGAATTGTAACCATATCTTTCCACATTGATGGCATTTCACCCTCTCTTAAAGAGAATACAGGCAGTCCTCGACTTACAACCATTCGTTTAGCGACCAAAGTTACAATGGCACTGAAAACAAAAGGGACTTACAACCAACCGGTCCTCGCACCTTGAACTGCTGCAGTCGTTAAGTTAGTAACACGGTTGTTAAGCAGATCTGGCTTCCCCATGGACTTGCTTGTCAGAGAATTGCAAAAGAGTACCATCGCGTGATCCCCAGGACACGGCAACTGTCGTAAATAGGAGCCAGTTGCCAAGCATCCGAATTTTGATCGCCTGACCATTGGGGATGCTGCAACGGTCGTTAAGTCTGAAAAATGGCCACAAGTCACTCTTTTCAGTTTAAGTGATTGTCGACTAGGACTCCAAGGTCCCTCTCCCAGTGACTGTTTTTGAGCTATCTTTCGCCTCATATGTCCTCGTAATTTTGGGGTTTTTCTGCCCAGGTTTTGCTTTTCTCCACATTAAGTTACATGGACTCCCTTTCTAGATCGGGACTCCCTACGCACAGTCACTCATGCCCTCGTCACCTCCCACCTGGACTATTGCAACGCTCTCTACATGGGGCTCTCCTTGAGGAGCACCCGGAGGCTCCAACTGGCGCAGAGTGCGGCCGCGCGGGTGGTTATGGGAGCAATATGGCGCTCCCGTGTGACACCTGTCCTGCGCGAGCTGCACTGGCTCCCGGTGGTCTTCCGGGTGCGCTTCAAGGTTTTGATCTCCACCTTTAGAGCGCTCCATGGCTTAGGACCTGGTTATTTACAGGACTGCCTGCTACCACCAATAGCCTCCCACCTGCTGGTACGCTCTCATAGAGGGGGGCTCCTCTGGGTGCCGTTGGCCAAACAATGTCAACTGGCGGCCCCCAGGGGGAGAGCCTTCTCTGTGGGGGCACCTACAACTGAGCTCCCCCCGGAGATATGGAGGATCCCGGATCTGTGCACCTTCCGTCGCACTCTCAAGACTTTTTTATTCCATCAAGCCGGCCTGGCCTAAATCTTTCCCCTTTAAAATGTAAATTTTAATTTGTTTTTTTTAATTATTGGGTGTTTTAAGTTTGTCTCGGCCAAATTGTTTAATTCGGTTTTATTCTGTTTTTAAATTTTGTATTTATGTGTTTTATTCTGTGGCTGTTCACCGCCCTGAGTCCTTCGGGAGTAGGACAGTATATAAATCCAATAAATGAAATGAATGTTGTTGGATATAGGGCCTGTTGTTCAATTTCACACTAGGCTAGGGCATTTAAAATTCATAAAATAAACAATTTTTTCCCCCCATCTCAGTTTCTTTTCTTTCAACTGACTACACGCTCGAGCGTTTAATTTTTCTCAAGTGGTGAAATCCAATTTTTTTTTTTACTACCAGTTCTGTGGACGTGGCTTGGTGGGCAGGGCGTGGCTTGGTGGGCGTGGCAGGGTAAGGATACTGCAAAATCTCCATTCCCACCCCACTCTGGGGCCAGTCAGAGGTGGCATTTGCAGGTTTCCCGAACTGTTCAAAATTTCCGCTGCCGGTTCTCCAGAACCTGTCAGAACCTGCTGGATTTCACCCCTGATTTTTCTGCAGATTCACGATCGCAAACACTTCCATAAATAAGTATGTTTCTTTTTTTTTTAAGGTAATGCTTTTATGGCTATTGCATTTACTTCAATGCCCGTACCTCACTTTAATGACACCTTAAGGACCGGTTTCGATCAAAGCATCCAGTTACAACATGAATAAATGCTGTGGCGTACGGTGCGCAAATTGCATTCAGCAAACACAGGCTAAGGAGGCAGGATTCCCTGAGGATACGAACTCAGTCTGGTTTCGAAGATGATGAATTTTGGTCATTTTGCCTGAGTTACGGAATAAGTGGCACCTGCAGGAAACGGAGTCAGGCAGGGCAAATTGGCAGCGGGATCGCTTCCTGACATCTACAGGTATCCTCGACTTACAACAGTTCGTTTAGTGACCGTTCGAACTTACGACAGCGCTGTAAAAAGTGACTTATGATCATTTTTCACACTTAACAACCATGGCAGCATCCCCATGGTCAAAATTCAGAACTGACTCACATTTATGACCATTGATGGGTCGCTTGATCCCCTCTTGCAACCCAGATTCGTTTAACAACTGTGTCACTAATTTAACAACTGCTGCGAAAGGACTTAACCCCTGTGGCAAGAAAGGGGCAAAACACCAAATTTAACAAACATCTCACTTAGCCCCAGAAATGTCGGGCTCCGTTGTGGTCGCAAGTCGAGGACTACCTGTATATAAAGCCATTGTGATTTCAGCAGCGTTTGCAGACAAGACAGATTTCATATACCAACGGATTAGAGTTTAGGATTAGGATTAGGATTAGACCAGGCCTTGTTAACAGAAGGTGGGAACTGAGAACTTTTAAAGAGAGAGAAATTCTGTCCTTCAACTCGTTGGGGTAGTCGTGGTTAAAGTACCAGGCTAGAAACCAGAAGACGGTGAGTTCTAGTCCCGCTTTAGGCATGAAAGCCGGCTGGGTGACTTCAGCCAGTCCTTCTTCCAACAACCCACCTCACAAGTACGGATAACAGAAGGAGAAAAGAGTTGTTATGCATGTTCGTTACCTTGAGTTATTATATAAAGGTAAAAGGTAAAAAGGTTCCCCTCGCACATATGTGCTAATCGTTCCCGACTCTAGGGGGCGGTGCTCATCTCTGTTTCAAAGCCGAAGAGCCAGCGCTGTCCGAAGACGTCTCCGTGGTCATGTGGCCGGCACGACTCAATGCCAAAGGCGCACGGAACGCTGTTCCCTTCCCACCAAAGGTGGTCCCTATTTTTCTACTTGCATTTTTTACCTGCTTTCAAACTGCTAGGTTGGCAGAAGCTGGGACAAGTCACGGGAGCTCGCCCTGTGACGCGGCGCTAGGGATTCGAACCGCTGAACTGCCGACCTTTCGATCGACAAGCTCAGCGTCTTAGCCACCGAGCCACCGCGTCCCTCTGAGTTATTATATAAAACACAATAAAGGCAGGATAAAAGTTTTTTTAGCAGATCAATAAATTAAAATTAATTAAATAAATTGTCCTGTGAACAAATTGCAGGGTCATTGCAGGAATCGTCGATTGGACCGAACCAACTGTGAAGCCATAGAAGAGGCCTCACCGAGGAGAAACCTTTGGACCTCCACCGCAGGCAGTTTCAGAAGCCAGTTGAAGCAACTTCTCTTTCTCCCAGCTGCCGATTCAGCAAAACGGACCTACCGACCAGAACCTTTTCTTTTTATTCTTTGACTGGTTAAAGTTGACTTGTCTTTATCGACAAGTCACGCGAGAGCCCAGATCCTTTGGAGCCCAAATTGCTCCCTATCCAGCCACGGAGGGTTGGAGAAACGTGGAGAGATACCACCAGGCCGCCGTTGCAGTTTCTGCTTGCAAGTGCTTTGACAATACTATTGCACTGCTAGCTGGCAAGTACAGTAGTGCAATGAAGTCAGAGCCCCCGTCAGCAGGAAAAGGCTTGGGGAAAACGGAATAACGGAGTCAGAAGGGACCTTGGAGGTCAAGCAGGAGATCTTACAACGTTCTGGACAAATGATTGTCCGGTCTCTTCTTAAAAAACCCCCAGGGTGGGGTCCTTTCTTGTTTTCTTGCAGACGTTTCATGACCCAACTAGGTAACATCATCAGTGTTAGAAGTGGAAAGAAGGAAAAGGAGGATAATTGTGGGGTTCTTGGTGCTCCCTGAGCTTAGTTGTTTTCTTGCAGACGTTTCATGACCCAACTAGGTAACATCATCAGTGTTAGAAGGGGGGAGGAGGAGGAGAATTGTGGAGTCCTTAGTGCTCTCTGAGCTTAGTTGTTTTCTTGCAGTTGTTTCATGACCCAACTAGGTAACATCATCAGTGTTAGAAGTGGAAAGAAGGAAAAGGAGGATAATTGTGGGGTTCTTGGTGCTCCCTGAGCTTAGTTGTTTTCTTGAAGACGTTTCATGACCCAACTAGGTAACATCATCAGTGCTAGAAGGTGGGTTTTGAAGAGTGGAGGAAGAGGAGGACTGTGGGGCCCTTGGTGCTCATAGGCTCTGTCTGTCTGTCTGTGTGTGTGTATTGCTGATAGAAGAGAATATTTGTAGCTCAGGACTGAAAACTGTGAGGTCCTTGGTGCTCTCTGAGCTTTGGGTGCTTTCTTGCAGAGGTTTCATGACCCAAACTAAGTAACGTCATCAGTGCTAGGGTATGTAGGATTCTGAAATGTCTGCAAGAAAAGAAGCATGTCAATCCTGAGCTACAAATATTCTCCTTTATTTGAACCTCCAGTGTGTGATAACTCGGCCGGATTCCTCTCCAGTGGTCAGTTCGGAGGAGGATGAACCAGTTCCAGAGGCACGTCAAGAGCTGGTCAACGGCTCCAAGAGGGATTTGGCTGAAGCATAGGTACAGCAAAACATCCCTAAGGCTTCAGGTGAGGAACACTTGCAGCTGCAACCGGCCGGCGATGAGGAAGAGGAACTGCCTTCTGCACCTAATCCACGAGCCCGTAGGGCAGAGAAAAGGCTGGAGCAGCGAAGGTCGGCCTGATTACTTGTGTGGAGGCAGCCTCGCCCCTCTTGATGGGATGCAGAA